TTGTTTCTTGGAAGTGCATCATCAGTGGGAAGGCAACGTATGATGGATGGCGATCCTGTGGGCTGTGGCATATCATCCCTTCGGGCGGAAGAAAAGAGGGACCTCGACAAAGGGGAAACTAGAAACCAACCACTCAACAATCAACTTAAACGTGGAGTAGATTCTCATTACCCCCGAGTATTTCATTTCATTCAGAGTTGTATACATACAATCGAAGCCTCTCTCCCCCCCCCAGCTTTCCTCTCACATAAACCAGAAACTTATACAACCTCAAAGGCAAGACTTCCCTTTCTCCCGTCGTCGCTGAGAAAATAACAACACAAACCCAAATACCCCACTTTACCAGTGACGACTTTATCCATTCATCATCACCACCATGATCTCCCTTTCATTCCCCAAATGATACTGTAATGATATGAGACAAAACCAAAACAAAAGAAAACCCCCCGCAATGTGTGTGTAACTGAAGCCATCAATAATCAATCCCCTCCCTCTGTTATAATATCATGAGCATCTCAAACAGAACCTCAACACAGAGAAGAAGAAAAAAAACTCCAGTCCATCATGATGCAATAAAACGCCCTATACTCCATCAAACCAAAGCCCAACTAAACTTCATTTACCCCATCACCGCCACACAACCGGTCCCCGGGCCTTTAAACTCCCACCACTCCCACCAGCTGGCGTTGACCCGAGAGCACCGATAGTAATCCTCCTACTCTTACCATCGGCCTCAGCCAACCGTCCCGCAATCCCCGGGAAAGGCCCAGGCATCATCAACCCAGCCCTTCCACTTCCAGGACTATGATTCCCCGCATCACCACCACCGCTCCTCAAAACAGCACCAATCCTCCTCGCCTGTCCCCCACTCAAACTCTTGCTTCCCCCCATCCCACTCAAGAAACTCCTCTCCCCAGCATCTTCCTTTTGGCTCACAAAACTAGGAGGCGAACAACTAATAGGCGGACTTTTCCTCCTCTCGGCCGCTCCCATCGACAAAACCTTCAGACTTGCCCTCCGATGCCTCGAGATTCCATTTGTCGAACTGGCCAACGGGGCACCAACTGACACCCTTCGACTAGAATGGTGAGACGGAATAGCTCCCGCACCCGAACTAGCTTTCTTGGCGTTCGATGCCGCCGTCCCGCTCATCAAAGACAACCTCTCCTTGCGCTTGGCAGCCTGCATCGCGCTCCGGATCTTCATAGGATCCATGATGGTCGAGTTTTCAGAGTCAGATCCGCCACCGGATATCGAACCCAGAGAAGCTCTAGGCAGACGAGACGGTGACAGCCGCTGTGGCTGTTGTTGTTGCTGCTGAGCAGAACCTTGGCTCTGACTGGGAGGCTCGTTCTCGTCTAGAGTAGACAAGAGAGAGGATTTTTTGGGACTCAAAGAGGTTCGAATGGTAGGAGGGGAAAGCGTATTGCCCGCTCTACTTACAGGAATACTACGGAGTGGGCTTGGGCGGTCGGCGGCATTCGATGATGGAGAATTAGTATCTGAGCTAAGGTTGAGGGAAAAAGTAGGTGGGGTGGGTGATCCATTGGGAATGAGTGATGGCCTCGCGCCTTTGGAGAGGAACCCAGCTTGGAACCGGCTACTGGTAGGTTTGGTGATGTGCAGCGAGGAAACGTCCGGGAGGGTCAAGGTTGGGGAGTCATCACTTGCTCGGTTGGTCGACTTGGGCGATTCCATGTGGTCAAGATATGCCGGAACATGTGGTTTGATGCCGCTACCGGGAGACAGTTCTCCTCTCGGGGATTCTTGAAGGGGGGAAAACAACTTCTGGGGAGTCTTCTCGAAGTCAGCCAGGGTTCCATCCTCCGTCTCGTCATCGCGCCAGCGGACAGAGTGCTTCTTTTTGGCGGGCGTAAATGACACACCCTTCCTTCCGGAGCTGCCGACCTTACGACGTCGCGGAGATGCCAGCTTCATCGGAGAAATAAGTACCTGCTGCTGTTGTGTCGCCGAAAATGCCGCGCTGAGTCCGGGAACGGGGATCGCTTTGGATTGCATGCTGATCGACTTTTTTCGCTTCGGCGTCCCGCGCTTTGTCGGCGGGAAGAGCTCCACGGGTATCATGGATCCGTCCGGCTTGACGACGTGGGAAGCGGCCGAGTATCCAGTCTCCAGAAGTCGGTCAATAATCCCCTTGGCATGAATGACAGCCTCGTCCTCGCTCATGTTGAGGGTCACGGAGAGAGAAGCCAAGATCTCGAACTGGGCGGTCAGCAGGACTTGCATCGTGGCCGCATCACCGGCCTTATCCTGCTCCAACACCTCCCAGTAAGCGTCCCGCATGAACGTTGCTCTGAGTGATTCAGCTTCTCTGGTTAGTCTATCCCTCTCGGAGGTGTCAGCAATCCCGTCATTCTTGGGCAGCGCGGCAATGCTGTGATTCAATGCAGAATCCAGCGCCCGCTCCCAGTTTGTCCGTTCCATCTTTTGCCTGATGTGATGTCTGCTGCTCTCCAGCTCAACCAAAATCCCGTGCGCCGTCTTTCGCATGGCAGTCAGGTTCGAAGGAATTGTCTCCTCGTCGCCTCGGGTGTCGCAGACCGTGTCGAACGCCGCGATCCAAGCAGACAAAAGACCAATCCTCCTCTCAAAAGCCTTGAGCTTCTTCATTAGGTTGAGCTTGTCCTGACGCTCCTGAGCAGCATTCTCATAGGCGGCCCGCAGCCGAGCAATGCCCTCCTTAACCGCACCATCCCGCTTGTCCATGTGCTTCTGAAACTTTGAAAAGAATATCTTTTCAGCGTCCCTCTGCTGAGCCTTGAGCTCGTTGATCAATGCCATTTGCTCGTCGATCTTGACCAAAAAGTCCTTGACGTGGCGGTTGACATTGAAGACATTACGGGTGACCTTGGTCTGGATATTCTTGGCTCGGTTGGCGTAGCGGAGGGTATTCTGGGTCTCGTCGAAATGCTCGCTCGAAGGACTGACGCAGACAATCATGACTGTCTTGCAGTTGCCACCCAGAGAGAACTTGAGAAGACGGGTGAGCTTGCTGTTTCGGTAGGGAACGTGGTTCTTTTTCCGCGGGTCGCAGAGCGCATTAATGCAGCTGCCGAGAGCAAGGAGAGACTTGTTGATGTTTGCACCTTCAATCAGTCTCTCTCCCCTGTTCTGGGTCGCACTGGCGCGCTCACTGCCGGCCAAATCGATAATGCTGAGGGTGGCCATCGTATGAGGCTCGTTAATATCGGCATTGCGGTCCTTCTGGGCGACGTTGATCTGCAAAACGGCATGGGATCGGGATGACACGGCATTGGCTGCCGTTGGCGACACAGTTCGGTACTCGTTACCCTGAACAATCATATCCATGACCTCCTGCACATTGCTCGGCTTGTGGCTGGTGAGACCTGGCACCGACACAGTCTGGTTCGAGTCTTCGCGCAGCATGAGCCCCTGCTTGCTTCCGCCGGGAACCAACAAGTCACGAATCGTCTCATTGTAGATTTCGAGGTATGAAAGAGTAACTTCGGTCACTTTCTCGTCGCTCCGTTCGCCAATCTTCTCGAAGAGTTCCTGCATAGTCATGAAGATGATACCGGGCGACTGTGGCGTGCCGGTGATGGTATGCGTCTTTCCGCACCCCGTGGCGCCGTAGGCAAACACCGTGGCATTGTATCCGTCGAGAACGCTATCCAACAGACCTCTGGTGGTCCCCTCGTAGACGTCGGCCTGGGCTGCGTTTTCGTCGAATATTCTGTCAAAGGCGAAGACTTGATCTTTTACTTTTTTGCCCATTTTTGGGACGACGGATCGGGAAAATTTCTGGACAGGATTGTCCTCTGGGGGGTCGAATACGAGGCATCTGTCGTCGACTACTTTGATGACGGGTCTGAGGCCGCGCTGGTGCAGCTTAGGCGTGGGCGCTGCAGCGAGCGACCCATCTCCAAGAAAAACTGTACTATCGTCATTTCGGACTCTACTTGGCAGTCAGTGAGGGGAGTCGAGGGAGGCGGTCGGTCGGTAGGTGTGTGTATGTGGGTGCTCACAGTTGTGCGGCTTCTCGGATGGTAAACGGTCGCACTCGAACCGCTACCGTGATGGAAGAAGCATTCGGATCGAGAGCAGCCATGGTGGGCAGCAATTAGGTGCCGACGCCGAGGGGCCTCTCTTCACCGTAACTTGTAAACACTCGAGATTTTGCTGTTCCAGATTCGAGGGGCAATTAATGTCGTAACCAAGGGAATTAACAAAAGAAAATAAAATACATGTGTTTGCTTGTCGACAGAGGCAACAACATCCAAATGGGCAACTGCGGCCTCGGTGATTGAAGGAAAGAAGGGTCCGGTCCCTGGAGTTCGACGTGGGCTTCGTCTTGGATATCTTGACCGGGATTGGACGCATTGGGCCTGTTTGGGGACTCCATTTTCTCGTTTCCACAGCGACGAATTGGGGGGTATGCCCCACCTTTAGTGGAAACGCAGGTGTTCCCTGGGGCTGTCGTCCGCTTGGCACTTGGCTGGCGACCGCTGACTGGCTGGTCAATGCTTGTTTTTGGCATTTGGAAAACCGCTGGCAGTTTCACTTTCAATGGCTCGTTGATCGCTGCAACAGAACCGATCAGTTTCGATTTCTGGTCAAGTACGGATCCGTATTTTAATCTCTTTCTCAAAAAAACAATTAACTCTTTTTTTCATGGGGATTCTTGAAATAAGTGACCTACATTCCAATCTTCTGCCCCTCCATACGGTTTACCCTACATCTGGCATTTCGATCTACCGAGCAACGTTGGCTCGTTTATAAGTAAATGCATAAGCTTTCCCCACTTCTTGCATTTGTCGTCGCTGGCAGGGCAGTTGTTTAAGGTATGTCCCTAATTGATACGATGAGAAAAGCAGAATGAGCCGGATTGTTACATCACTTTAGCTGGAAAGAATTCAACAAGGAGAGTTATCGTCTGCGACACAGAAGTCTGAGCAGGATTGCAGCAGGATTCTGTCGTTCATAGAGCCATGCTCCAGAGGGCCAGACATCCCCTGATAGGGCCGCTGGTCTAGTGGTATGATTCTCGCTTAGGGTTACAACCCGAGTTTAAATGCCTTCAAAAGCATGCGAGAGGTCCCGGGTTCAATCCCCGGGTGGCCCCGATTGATTTAAATCTTTTTTTGGTAACTTTATTTGCCAGGTTTCTTCTTTTTCCTGAAGACTGTGTGTAGCCGGTTTTCTTCTTGTTCGAGTCAATTCGTGATTGTTGGCTCCGGGTTTTATCGTAATCGTCGGGCAAATTCGCAGTTTCCTTTTGGGGAGGTATGTAGCGAACTCGCGGGCACTCCCGTGGGGGCCAAAATGCAACCACCCAACCATGAACGCAGTGACATAACCGACCCTTTTCAGCTTCACGTTCCCTCTCCCAGCCTTGTTTTACGATTTGGGAAGCTGCCATGAGTTATTAATCTTCTCTACACGTAATATTGTTACTTTTCAATCTATACTACCCATCGGGAGCATTCCTTTCGGAGTATATCGGGTGCTCAGGTCGATCGAGACTCAACTCACACGGCCTCCAAAAACGCCTTGTGAGAGTGGTAATGCCGCTAAAAATGAATAGGTGAGGATGCGCCACACTCTAATGTCTTCTTTACAGCCTTCATGTCACTGTATCGACGGTAAGACGGCAACATAACGTGACTCCTGCCGATTCATTCGCGTAGTTGCATCCATAAACCAGAAAAACAGAAGCGTGTGCCTGATTCCCCGCATCTTTCCATTCGCCTTTTGATGGGTTTTATAAGCTTCTCTAATAAGGAGTGATCACCCACCCCGCCTTCGCTTTCTTCTTCTTTATCTTTATCTATCATTCATCATTCATCATTCATCATTCATCATTCATCATCACATCGCACCATGACGACCCGTCCCCTCTATCCCAGGAGTCTACCAGAAGACAGCCTCGTTGCCGACGAACCTCCACCACCATATTCGGAATCACTACCTTTGTCCACCACAAACACCAATAGCTTATCGGCAAGTCCCACATACTCGCCTCCAGCAGCAACATCATCACCATCCCCGCCAAGACCTCAACTCATCTACCCTTCGCACTCATTAGTACCTCCTCCCTCTTACACCCCCCGCAACCCACCACCAGCACCCGCCTCTAGGAGGAACAACCCACCACCCTCCCGAACAGTAGGCTTCGTCTCCTACTCCGAAGAAAAACGCCGCCTGCAGTCCCTCCTCTCCAAGCACCGGTGGAAAACATACTACGGCCCCCCTCCCAAAACACTAACCGTTGCCCTCCGCAAAGCAGCGCTGTGGGGTGATCGCCCTTTCGTCAACGCGATTCTGGATATCGGAGGGGCCGAAATATGGGGCCAGCACCCCAACACTTGCGTTCACGAGGCTCTGCGCGGTTCCAAACCTGACATCGCGCTCGACATACTAAACTGGTGGATCGAGAATGAGTGCAGTGGTGGGGCAACGGGAGGAAAAGGTGTGCAGTGGATATTGGATGCCAGGGACGCGGCGACGGGCGTTACCCCTCTGCATGTTGCTGCTGAGGCTGGGAACGTGGGTGTCGTTATGGCGCTTGTGGAGATGGGAGGCAAGGTTGACAGCGAAGATAACCTCGGGAGGACGCCGTTGCTTATGGCTGCGCGGCTGAGGAGGCTCGAGGTTGTGGATGGGCTGTTGGATTGCGGGGCGGACGTGAATAAAGTTTTGGGGAAGAGGGGATTGTGGGATAAGTGGAAGGAGGGAAGCAAGGAGAGGGAGTTGCTGGGCGGGTGGGAGATTGTTAGTGGGATTCTGAGGGGGGCGGTTGCGAGGAGGAGGGGGTTTGAGATTGGAGATGAAGAGGTTGAGGAATTTGTAGAGGAGGAGGAGGAGCTGCCGCAGTTTGAAGACGGATCGCAAATGTCGGAAGGAGGAGGAGGTTTAGATTTGAGGGATGGCTCTTTTGGAACGCTTCTAAGGAGTCCACCGCCGGAAGAGGTTGAGAGTTCTGGATTTGCTGCAGCAGCAGCGGCAGGAGGTGAAGAAGCGAGCGGAAGTGGAAGGAGTAGCAGTCCAGAGTTGGCATTGGGTCATGATGCATTGTTCAGAAGCATCACTGATATTATGGATGGGTCACGGACGGCACATGATAGGGGCATTAACTGGCAGTTGATCCAGGCTGCGATGCTGGCATCCAACTTGGCTGACACTGATCCGCTCGTTCGACGGATGCTTTATATCCGGGGAGCTCTCAACAATCCAGCGCTGCAGCATAGCTTGATGGGTAGTCCCGAGTACCAAGCTTGGAGGGCTGATTGTGAGGTACTCCTTGCCGAGTCGAGAAGTCAAAGGGAGAGGAATCGGCAGGCGGAAGCTAGGATCCTGGAAAGACTCGGAGCGAGGAGGTGACGTAAATGATGGAGAATGAGTAATAGGTGATATACCCCTGGAGTTTGGATAATGATAATGTGTCATGTTTTTTGCAGATGAGCTGGATATACTGAACAAACGGTATTCTTTTGACTATTCCACCAAATAACAATCTACCTAATTAGCAACACAACACCACGTCCTCTCCCTTAGATCTTCTCGGTATGCGCTTGAGCCTTCTCCTTCTCAGATGAGCCCGCATACCCGGCATCCGCTACTTCATTCTGACCGCGCAGGATTTGTGTAAGACCAATCTCGGTATTGATCTCTTCCATGCGCTCGAAATCTGCTTGAGCAGTACCTTCAGAGCCAAAGATGACATCCTAAAAAGATCAAAGTCAGCCTTTTACGTTCACGAATTGAAGAATGGAGACAAAAAAGATCTTACCATCTCCTCCAAAGTCAATCTCTTGGTCTCGGGCACGAAAAACCAAATAAAGGCGGCACCAATATACGTCAACAACCCAAAGAGGATATAAGTCCCGTAGGTGATCCTCTCCAGCATATCGGGAGTGACCTGTCCCACAATAAAGTTGTTCATCCAGTTGCTCGACGCTCCCAGGGAAACGCCGTAGGGACGAGTGCTAAGGGGCCAAATCTCGGCGACAATAATCCACGCGCAGGGTCCCCACGAGTAGCCAAAGTGAATGACAAAGAGCCAGACCATGCAAACTGCCGCCCATCCGGCCGCGGCGTGCTCCTTCCACGAGTCGATGTTCTTGGCGACAATGACGGCGATGATGATGTGGCATGTTGCCATGCCGAGTGCACCGATCGTGAGCACGGGCTTACGGCCGACCTTGTCGATCCAGAGGACGGCGGGGATCGTAGCGAGGAACATGACGATGCCGACCACGCCGGTGGCGAGAAGGGAGGTTTCGGTGTCGCCGAGGCCAAGCTGCTTGAAGATTTGCGGGGCGTAGTAGAGGATAGCATTGATACCGGACCACTTTTTTTGTTTGTTAGTCAGTCTCTTCCCCCCCCCCCCCCCTTTCCTGTGATATCTATCTTACCTGCTGAAAGAACATGGTAACAGTTGCCACTATGACTCGTCTGAACATGGCTTTAGTCTGGAACAGCTTCTTGATAGCCACGAATTGGAGCTTGAAGATATTCCAAGCCGTCTGCTCGCGCAGCTGGGGGAATAACTCGGCGATGCTCCTCTTCTCAAACAGTGACTGCGCTTTGATCTCGAGGAACTCCAGCTCGACCAGCTCGTGATCAGCCGACAAACCACGCAACGACGCAAGGTTCTTGCGGGCTTCTTCTTCCCTCCCGTGGTGGATCAACCAACGAGGGGAGAAAGGCATAAAGATCATGCCGACGAACAAGATGACGGCGGGGGCGAGCTGGAGGCAGGTGGGGATCAGCCACGCTGCGTCCTTTTGTGTTTCCGCCGCTGTGCCTCCGATGAAGTTTGTTCCACTTTGTTATGATGTCAATATCAGATCCACCAACAGTTAGGTAAAGATGGGAAGAGTGAGAGAGAGAGGACTTACTAGTCGATCCAGAAACTGATCATGATGCCGAAGCAAATAGCAAGCTGCTGCGTGGCCACCAGCGCTCCTCTGACTTCCGGGGGTGCCACTTCCGAGTTGTAGATTGGGATAATCATCGCCAGACTTCCCACGCCCATACCGCTGTATTTTGTTATCTGTTAGCATAGTGTTTTTTTTTTTCATCAAGTCCCTTACACCACACCCCATTTTCCCCTCTACACCCTATTCTTCACACTCCTTTCCCTTTAGTCCCTTTTTCCCCACCCATCATCTCAAACCCATCATCTTGAACCATCCAGAGGAAAAGATAAAGGGTAAAAGAAAGAAATATAAACATACGTAACAAATCTCCCCGCCAAAATAGCATTGTGCCCGACACTGACAGCCGTAGCCTGTATGACGACGCCGATTATGAAGACGGTACAGGCCACCAGAATCCCGTATTTGCGGGACAGGACCTCGGCGATGAATCCCGAGAGCAAAGTGCCGATCCAGGCGCCGAGTTCGAGGATTGCGGTCAGCCAACCCTTTTTGGTCTGGTTGGTTGTGTATTCGCCCATATCTTTTTTTTTCTGTCAGCCATTTTGTTGTATGGTTTCTTTTCTAGTGTGGTGTATGTAGAAGAGAATGGGTAAAGTAAAAGAAGTCTTGTAGGTCATGTATGGGATGCAGTTTTGCTTTTCAAGTTGTAGAAAGGGGGAAGAGGGGGTTATGAGTTTGAAGAAGAAGAAGAAGAAGGAGATGTAAACAGATGATCACATAGGGGGAGAGTGAAAGTATCGTCAAAAATTGGTAAATGACAACATCAAACAAAGAAGAAAAGAATTATAATACTAGTGAGAGCAGCTGTGAAGGCAAAAAAAAAAACACAAGACAGAAAGAAAAAGAAAAAAATACACACGTTTCTGGAAAGAAGGCATAGCCAAGACGCCCGAAAACATTCCCTGGTTGTACCCATACAGCACACCACCGATACACGCAAAAGCCGCGATCCTAAACACCCGAAAATTCTTGATGAGCGCCGCGGGACCTGACTTGCCCATCAGGGCTTGACGCTTGTGAAGGGCGGCATCGTAGAACCCGCCGGCGGAGGTGTCTGCTCCTCCCATGATTTCTTTCGGATTTGGTGTTCTCCTATGAGGGTGGGGCCTTTGCGGTGTTGTTGTTGTTGTTGAAGTTCCCAGCAGCCCGGGTATATATGGCAGCGAAACAAGAAATAGAG